TTACCATCGGAGCAGGTGCCACCTACCCCTTCGACACTGTGCGCAGAAGACTGCAGATGCAGTCAGAGAAGCCCCCCGAGGAGCACATCTACAAGGGCACCATGGACTGCTTCAAGAAGATTGCTGCTGAGGAGGGTCAGCTACTCAGACATCTGTCCTGCGTGGCATGCAGTTGCAAGGCGAAAGGTATTGCTGATGATACATCAAGGGTGTAAATGGTATGTGAACAAAAGAAGGTTTATAGGCAAATTAAGCATGCTGCAGATCTGAGGACTGATGGCCGGTCTCTACAAGGGATTCGTGGCGAATATTGTGCGCAGCGTTGGTGGAGCATTGGTCCTTGCCATGGCCTTAAAGGCTGAGACGCCATTGGAGCAACGCCCGTTGTTTTTTTGGGATGAAACACTGAGGGGAAAACATATCTTGTATATAATATTAATTGAACTGAAAACCACATGTTGTTCCCGCATGATTTTCGCTGTTTTTGTAAAGCCCAAGTGGCCCAACGACAGCTTGACTTCTCCATCATGTATTGACAGTGCATCGCGCAAATTGCTAAAAAAAATGACTTACATATTGCACGGTGCTTGACACCAACATTCACATGGTTTTCACAGTGATCAAATCTTCAGCATGCAGATGCTGATAGCCTCAAATCAGCATCACCAGTATCATGAAACTCTTCCAACACCCACTAACACTGCAAGCGTAGGCTTTGACACAGTGCAAACATTTTGGTTAGGTCGAGCTAGAAATACTGCAACAGGTTTCTGCTCTGGACCCATACTGACTGGTGGAATTGAGGTCCTACCTGCTCACCTGCTCGATGACAATTTGCCGTGTATGTTCTTTAATTCCAAAAACATCTCAAGCTCCAGCAACATCAAGAGCTTGGACTTACTGACTGACTGACTGACTGACTGAGTGAGCGGACCCTCAAATTGCTTTTTGTGAAGAGGGTTGGCACATCACCCAAACAACAGATGCAAAAACACTAGTACTGTACTACTAGTGATGACCAAAATATCTGAATGCCAATACTCCTTGACAAGAGATTCCTTAGCGAGACCACGTTTTCTTTCTGCTTTTGTCTCGGCCGATCGACTCGGTGTTTGCGTGGTGGCAGTGAATTGCTGAGGTCCTCTATGATCGTGCCAAGATGTACCTGCAGCTGTGAGACGCCTCAGTCGCCTCAGTCGCCTGGAGCTCAGGGCCCAAGAGTCGCTGTGGTGGGAGGAGTCTCCGAGGGATTTGCACCAGCGCTGGTGAGCGATCAGCGATCGTGGGGGTGGTCAGATGTTGGACCCAGTCGCCAAGGCCCCGGGCTTTGAGTGGTGCCAGGCCTGAAACAATCATGAAAAGCGGGACATGGCCCCGAAAAGAGGACCATTTTTCCTCTGCAAGCAGGTGGTTTTCCACTTCCATGTTAGTGACTCGGAGACATAGACGAAGTGTTATACAAGTGGTGACTTCCATGTTAGTGGCCCTCACCGCACGTCTTCAGACACTGCATACTGAGGCTCTTCAGGCTCTCCTTGAGCAGGGTTGACTTGATGCATGCAGGAGCCTTTTGTTTGTTGGCACAGGTTTGGAAAGATATTGCCATATCTCAGAGTCTTCATTGTATATGGATCTTACCTTCGTTGTAGTCAAGGCTGGTGATCAAGTCTGTGTCAAGTAGACCCGCAATGCTCCATTTTGCGCCTGTTTTGCACCTGAAAGACCTTTTTAATGTCTGAGTTTCTCGTCTGAGACTTGCATAGCAAGTCTTTTTGTCTGGAGACGATAGGTTGAAATCAGGGCAGGGCACAGTCAGATCAGATCACAGAGACGCCAATCAGGTTTGACCAAGATAAAGCATGGCCCAATCCTGGACAATGAAACCCTTGCAGCTTGATGTGAAATGGAAAGAATGCGTTTGCTGCTGGGCTGGGCTGCAGGATTAAGAACGACGGAGCTGCTTTGTCGATAAATAACAGCAGAAACCCTATCTGCTTTTTGAGGACAGTATTGGACTTGTGACATAAGTCATCGCTTGTGCGTTTTGCTTCTCTGGCCAGTTGGTTCGAAAGCAGGTGTACAGCAACTGCCCAAGCAAATCGTGTGTTCAGCGTCATGGTTTCGTTTGGTATGTACTAAACCGCCGGTTTCATGCGCATCGGACACACCCAGGTCTTTTCTTCAAGTGTGTCTGCAGATTTTGTTACCTAGCTTCCATTGCTGCACTGTCAATCAAACTCCAGGCAAAAGGCGTTCAGCTTTCGTAGCCCTCGAGCACCTGTGCCAACCATTGCTTTTTAGTATGCCGTTGCCATGGACTGCAAAGCTGAACGAATGCTCCGACGATGATGGCGAGGAATCTGATGGTGACCAGTGCGCATACTTCATCGACAAAGTTGCGAAGCTGAACGAACGATGGGCATCAGAGGGAACGGTTTGCTTATTAGTGACAAGAAGCTACTAGTACTAGTAGCATTCTTGCTACTAGTAACAAAGGGTATCGCTACTAGTAGCCAGAACGCCATTCGTAGCTTGGTTGGGCTTGGCAAACGGTTTTCAAAAGCGCAGTGTTCATCACGCCCATAGACCGACCGGTATACCCGGGGAGAGGCCGGGACGGGGAGAGGCCGGTCAGCGACGAGGTCCCGAAGGCTCATTGAGTTAGACTTATTTCCACCAATGACACGTGCCAGTGTCAGAGATTTCGGTAAACCATTTTCAAAGTAAATCAGAGTAGCTATGTACAGCATCATAGACACCACTGAACATATGTGAGTGCACTGCAGCCCCTTTGGCTATTGAGAAAAAGTGCGTATGGTAGCGGAGCTGAGAAGGAGGTAACCCCTCTTGAACTCTGATTGAAAAGCCCCTAGGTCACTGGGATCCCAAGCCTTTGGAACCCAAGCAGATGAACTGGTGAAGAACTGCTGTTAACAACACTGTACTCAGTACATTGGCAACAACATCAGAAGCTGAGGCAGTGAAGAAGGCAGTTGAAGACAAGAAGTCATCAGCAACAGATGGGTCAAAACGGATAGCAAAGGCCAATATCTTTGACTTTCAGCCACAAGAAGAAGAGATCAAGCAAGGCATTCAGAGAGTGGTCATGGGTCTTTGAGAAGTGTTTGGGCGCAGTTGATGAGGGCTACATGAAGGATTTGAAGGAAACCATGAGAAGCCAAATAGTAAATTTGACATGGAGTTAGCTGATGATGCAGAGAGGACTGAGACATTGCTAAAGACTGTTGGAGGAACAATCTTAGACAGGTAGCAAGTGATCCAGCCCATTCATCCTCAGGAGTAGCATCAGTGACAACTCATACAGTTGGTCAACAACATGCCAATGTGAGCCAACGAGGCAGCTCAGCAGAGACCAAGCCAGTGGTCAGGAGAATTGTGAATGATGAGCCCATCATTTTTGACTTGAGACAGGGAGATGATGAGCTAGAAGATCAAGGAGTTCGAGTAATACACTTCTACATTGGAGATGATGATGATGAGAGCCAGAATTCCAGCAAGTTGGTGAGATTGACGTGTCAGATGATGAACCCATAGTGAGGAGACTTGGGAAAGAGCATGAGGATGTGGCCAGCATTATTGACAGTGGAGCTGATGTAGCAGTACGGCAAATCAAGGGGAAGGAGAACTAAAATTCAATACAGAGACCAAGCTACAAGATGCTCAAGGAAATCGTATCCGCACAGGAGGTGCGAAAAGTGTGGAAATTTCCTTGCGTGACCTTGATGGACGAGAAGTTCTTCTCAAAGAGAATGTGATCTCCAGTTCCAAGGTGAATCAGCCCATACTTTGTTATGGAAGATTGATGGAACATGGTCGGGGAATCAGCAGCAGAGAGCAAATGTTGGAGAATGGCGAGTTGAAGGTACCACTCAACCTACAAAATCGTTCTTTGACAGTTCAAGGCCGCATTAGAGTCATTCGAGATGAAGATGAGAACTGCTTGGAGGTGCAAGTACCTGTTTGGAGAAAGAATCAGGTTGGAGATGACTGCGAGCCTATTGATTTCCAGTTTGTTGATCCCCCAGTCATTCCACTTCAAAAGAATCACCCGAGCTGATGAGAACTAGTTTGGTGAAAAGAGGAGGTCAGTGGCTAATGCCTGAGTATTGTGAAAGTATGATGAAGAAGGATGAACTTGATGAGCAGTTCTTTGATGATGATGCTGTGGTTCCTTCAATCAGAATAGCCAGCGCCACCAGAGGATATGGGATTCTTTGCACCAGGATACAAGAAGCTTGAGAATAGAGAGCAGCGAAAGAAAGAAGTGCAAGAAGTTTTGGAAGAGATTACCCCTACACGACAGGAGAAGGAGGTAGAAGGCCAGAGAGAAGAGGAAAAGAAAGATGAAGACCTTGAATGTGAACTACAATTGAGCCACATGGATGTAGACAAAGTATTGGTGAATGGAATAGAGTTGACTAAGGGTTCATTTTTCTTTTCTCGGCATTTCAGGCAGTGGCTCTAAGCTAAAGATGGAGTTGTTGAATGCCAAAAGCTTGGTGAGTGAAGCGAAAGCTCAGGAGACAAGAGAGGTACTAGGACAAAGTGTGGCAAAGATGCCAGATGAAGCAGCCCAGGCAAGGCACAGATTGACTCACACGCCATATGCCAGTTGGCCAGTCGGTGTAAGGAGTGCATTGAACGTAGAGCGCGCCCAGATCGCCGTGAGAGAACAGATGGAGTACAAGAGCAAGGGACTCAGAAACAACATCAGCAAGAGCAGTATGTTGGCAGCCAGACAGGATTCATTCATGTTGCGCCGCTAGGAAGCAAAGGCCAATTTCGCCTAATTGTACAGGAGTGGATGAATTTCACTTGTTGGGATATTCAGCAATTACCTACAGGAGTGACAATGAACCCACAACAAGACTCGTAACAAGACAAATCCTCAAGGTGCTGATCAATGCCCGACGCAGTCTAGGACTCACTACCAGATTGGTAAGCTCCAAGCTTGGAGATCATTCATTTCTGTCAGAGCACACAGTTGACAGGGTGAGAAAGCTTGCAGGAACATTCATTGAAGGTGCGCAGTCAAGACTCGGTATCAAGATTGGGTCAGATCATGCACTTTGGACTTGGGCAGCAAGACATGCCAGTTGGGTACTCAACAGATTTCAGCCAGTCAAAGGAGCAATTCCCTATGAGCTTGTCTATTAGAAGAGTTACAAAGGACTTCTAGCAGAGCATGGTGAGCCAGTTCATGGTCACATCAAAAGTCTCCACAAAGGAGAAGCAACATGGCATTGGTGTTTGTTCTTGAGAAAAGTTGAAAGGCAAGATACCTATGTACCCACAGATGGAGTGCAAGTAGCGCTTAGCAAGCGCACCAGAAGAACAGACCAACATTTGTACTTACCCATATACAAAAGCTTCAATGTATTTTCATGGGAGTACCAAACCAGCTTTGGAGGCAGAATCATTGCCACCAAGAGGAGAGCAGAAGCATTGCCAGTAGCGCAGACAGACAATCATTGAGGACATGTAATGGTGAAGTTCAGAGATGAGGATGCAGGGGCAGTTATGGCCAAGGCGCTGGAAGGAGGAAGTGATTCAGAAAAGGAAGAGCCACTAAGGAGATTCCAGCCCCGCTGGAAATTCCTGTTGAAGCAATGAAAAGAGATGGAAGTGAAAGAAAGCCAAATGCAGAAGGGACTCCAAGTAAGGAGCAGAAAGTTCTCTTTGCAGACGAAAAAGCAATTGAAAGTGATCTTGAGAGGAGAAGAATGCCTAGTGAAGAGGAATCTACCGGGACAAAGAGTTGGAGCAAAAGCATGGTTTGACTTTTTCACAGAGTACCTCACAGAGGAACTCAACTACGCGAGTGTCCATGTCTGGGAAGAAGTGAGAAGAGTATCATTTTGATCCATGTGGATGACTGGATTTTCGTAGGAGATTCAAAGTACATCAATGAAGTCTTTCTTCCAAAGATTCAAGACAAGCAAAATTGAGAGGATTGGCGATGATTTCTATTTCCTGAGGAGAAAGTACAAACTGGAAGTTGAAGTTGATGGATTTTGGATCCAACCAGGCGACTACATCCAGCAGATGTTGAAGGCCTATGAAGATCAGATTGGCCCGGTCAAATCTCAACAACTACCAGCAGACAACTCAGGCATGCGTGAACCAGAGAAGATTAGCCTTGTCAGGGGCGTTGTTGGATCAGGTATTTATCTATGTCAAGAAAGGTATGATGTAGCGCTCACAGTGAAGGAATTGAAGAATGTCAAATCCTACAGCTTTGCCATTTTATCGCTTGAAGAAATTCTTAGGATACTTGAAGAAGACTATGGACTATTGCCTAGTGCTTGAATTTCTACAGGCCGGAGAAGGTTATGTCAAGAAATGAGAAAGCTATTGGTGCTTGGAGACATTTCAGATTGAGACTGGAGTGGAGCCAAAAGCCACAGAGAGTCGACGCCAGGAGGATTCCTCGCATTTCATTGTTCAACAGCAGCAGAACGCAGAAGATCATTAGCTTGTCTTCACGTGAAGCAGAACTGCGCGCAATAGTTTCCTCAGCATCAGATGGAATCTATATCAATATCAGAGCAGTTCTGGAACTTGCTCTTGGGACAAAGGTGGACCATTACGTCTTCGCAGATTCATCAAGTGCGCGCCAACTTGTGACAAAGAGAGGAGTTGGAAAGGTGAACCATTTAGATGGAAAGTTGCTATGATTTGAGAACAGGAAAGATTTCAAGATGGTACAAGTGTCAACAGATAGCAACATAGCAGACGTCAACACAAAACCGCTGGGAGAACAAAGAATTAGATAGTTGATGAACCTAATTGGTTACTGGCACAGTGAAGACCAAGTGAGAGTAGGAGAACATGAGAGAAGGGAATCTGAAGAAAAGAAGGATTTGGCAGGGAAGGTCAACAAGATTGTAAAGATTGTGAGAATGGTAGCATTGGAGGGCTTGCAGCCAACGGTTACAGATGCAATCTTCAAAGAAGGAGACGACATCCAGTGTGGATTGGAAGACATGAGATTGGAGGAGATGAAGGAATCCACTGGAAACTCGAATTTTGGATCATGGTGGTTATTGCAATCAACATCGTTTGACTTGCGGTAGTGATCTTTGTGGTCTACAAAATTGTCAAACTTCTGGAATTGAAACTCCAAAAGGACAGTGATGAACTATGGGGTCATACAGAAAGTCACTACTGTGACAACTGGCAACACACTGATTGGAGACCAGACAACCTAGAGTTCAGGTTTACAGAACCTGAGACTGACGTCAGGAACGTGGAGGGAGATATCAATCAAATGGATGATGATGGAGAGAGAATCAATATTCAACACAAGAGAGAAATAGATACCAAACACGCAAGCTAGCAGTGTGTATGACATGTTATATGAGATGAATGCAGGACACTACTTAGCCAGAAGGAGCCTAGAAGAAATGTAGAGAACAGCAGGACTATTCTATGGACATCAGGTAATGTTGCAAGCAGCTATGAATGGAGCAAACCCAACAGAAGGGCCACTATACAGAAGATTCAGGCCAGGAAACAGAGACCTACCAGTCAGGCAAGACTATGAAGCAGCGCAGGCAAAGGCAATTTGTGGTCGACTTGAAGCAAAATTACAGCAGCTTTTAGAAAGGCGGCAGATGTAGTTGCAAGAGACACGGATAATTACCGAGAATTGTTGGATTGTCCAGTGCATCCAGATGTACCACATGAAGTGCCAACATGCTCTAGGAACCCAGTTCCTGGAAACAATGAGTAGATCCAGAAGAGAAATAGAAACAAAAAATGAGTGAGAGGAATCAGATTAAACGTGGCAAAGTGAGCCCAAAGAGGCATTTTAGGGTTTCACATCGCCAAGAAGGAGTGCGAACCATTTTCAAGGTAAATCAGAGTAGCTATGTACAGCATCATAGACACCGCTGAGCATATGTGAGTGCACTGCAGCCCCTTTGGCTATTGAGAAAAGTGCATAATATATCATATACACACTCACATATATATATATATAGTTATATATGTATATGATCTGCTTTGTAGCTTTTCTGGCCCGTTCACTTCTTTTGGAGAGGCCCGGCAGATGTTGTGGTTGGTTCAATTCGGCCGGGCGTGGACAAAAAGAAAACGTGTTGGAAGGATGGGCCCAGTAGTGGCTGGTTAGGTGTCGAGATGGCTTTCATCCCCATGCCGATACACCACCGCCACCGTTTGGCATTGGACATGTCGAAGACAAGAGCGTTTCCCACAGTATATGTGCACCTATCCACATCCTGGAAACATTGACTCGCCTAATGGACAGGTTTGTGCAACCGCAGTGGTTGTGAAGGGCTTGCCAGAGCTTGAAAAAAGAGCCGACAAAAAGCACCATGACACAGAGAGTGACAGCAACGCTTGTTTTCCCACCCCCTGCAGTCCAAAGGATTGGGGGTTGTGACCGAGTACATCTCAACGGTTGCTTCCGAAGAATCTCCAACTTCTGCTCCCCTCGCCACCACGGCGGGACGCAGAAGTAGGTCTACCTCTGGATCCGAGGTGGAGGAGCGTGCGATGACCGTGTCGCAGTTGCGGAGCTTGCGAACCTTTCTGCAGCACTTGACGAAGACGGAACTCCTCAAGCACACCACCGAGCGGTGGATTGGACCGAGTGGGGAGGAGCGGTGGAGGGGAGGCCTAGCCATGGGTTCACCTGGATTAATTTGACCGAGTTTCACGATGGATTGAGTGAACCATTTTTTCACCGAAAGCGGCGCGAAACCGGTGAAAACCAGTTCACATCAGTTGCGTGGAGCAGCTTGTAGAGCTGCTTGATTCTCACTCCGTGCTCAGGTCAAAGACGAATGGCACGCAGGGACACCTGATCCCATGGATGAATCTAAACATGCGCCTCGACGTGCGAGGAAAGGTTTCAAGATTCATTTCAACATAGATGATGTCAGATGCCAAAGTCCTTCGGTGTGTATTTTTTGACTCTTGAGCCAGCTTGATCCAACCCCATCAGGGGGGGCGGCCTGGGCGGTCTGACGTGGCGAGGTACGACATCACCAGCGAGGTCATCACGAAGGTGATACCCCATGTGGACCCCAAAGGGGAGCACATCGACGAGACCCGCAGGCGGGGTCCGTGGGGCTTCAGGAGGTACCGACGCCCTAGAAGCGATGGCCTCAAACATGGCCTCCAACCTAAGAGCGATGGCCTCCAACCTACTGTATCCTTGTCAGTCTTTCCACACATCTAGCAATGATCTGCAGCCCACATCGTGGGTCTCTAGCGTCACAGGCTAAGGAACTGAAGCTCCGGCAGCTTCTACCCTCAGATGCGAATGAATTCGATCACTCGATCACCTGTGAGGTGGTATAGTTGGGTGGAGTTTGTAGCAGATGAGCCGCAGCCGGCCAAGATTATGTTCAGCCACTGGTGGGGCGGGCGCTTTTCAGACTTCATGCCGCCTGGAACTGGGGAAGGTTGGATGGATGGTGCCATGTTTGTTTGGCTCATCGCTGGTTTGAGAGCTTTGTGAAGTCTGGCTTTGTCTGGCTCCCGTAGCACTTGCAGGTTTTCTTGTGTTGCTGGATGTTTCTTTCGGAGGGGCGTCCCAGGCTCTGAAAGGAAGTGGAACCAGACGGCAAAGGGAAGGTCACGCTCGAGGTTTAAACTTTCAACCGGTTCTCCTCTCAGCCAACAAGTCGAAAATCATGGTTCTCACTGGCCACTAGCCTAGCCTTCAGCTTTGCCACGGGGTCCCCCCGTCGGATCCTGGACCTACACCCGATTTGTGGACCGCGTGACTGGCGGGACGAAGTCGTGGATCGCGAGTAAGGCAAGCCGTGGACAAGATGACCTTGGATCAGTCCTTGAGCATTTACACTCCGATTTGGGTTTGTACCTTTGCAATTTGTCAGCGCCTGGGCGAGGGGATGGAAGAAACCCGATGGGCTTTTGGGGCTTTTGTTTTTTGTTGAGTGCGCAGAGCCGAGCCTTTAAAGACCGACAGTTTGGAGGTCTCCAGGCATCGCACCAAACTCACCAGACGACCAACCCGAACTCGCCCGGTGGAGGTTCGGCGAGAACTTTGGCAACAAACTCATGGACTGCCCCTTCATCCAAACCTTGAAGACGGTGGACCTGACTGTGCTGATTGTGGACTACCAAGCTGGCAGCCTTTCACGTACCTGGTGTGGACTGGAAGTGCACTACACCACACAGCAGCCTGACATGTCGATTTCTAAGGCTTGTTCTTGTTTACTGTAATTCCGAAGAATAGGTCGGGCTTGAGCATTTTGCACTCTCAGAAGCCAGGCACCAACCCCACCCTTCACCACCAATTCGAAAGCACCTTGCTCAAGGTGCCTTCTGCTCAAAAAAGTGGTCGCTCAAAAGCATAGGGAGACCCATCATGACCCATCCTTGTTACCCACCACGACCAGCAACCTGAATTTTGGACACTCCCAAAGAGTCTTTTTTCGGCCGCCCGGCCACGCCCACATACAGAGGAGAAAGAGCTTCCAAAGCCACCCTTTCAGTTTTGTGGGTCTCTCTCTGTCGATAGGATGACCACTGAAATCTTCGAGGACTTGACGTTTTTTGTTTTTCCCCAAACAGTTTACTGTCAGGGGTTCTCAATTCTTTCTTAAGGTGTGTCCGCCCTTTGTGTCCGCCCTTTTTCGTTGGCCATGTAGCATTTCTATTCATTTGTCTCCCAGTCTGTCACTGGCGCTGTCCGCCCTTTTCCGCTGGCCGGTGGTGTCGCCCTTTTCCGCTGGCGATACAACATTTCTATTCATTTGTCTCCCAGGTCTGTCACTGGTGGTGTCC